TATATTTCTGTAAGCTTTTTCAGAACTACAAAGCAAGAAACACCTCTCACCTTTCTGTTGTATTTAAACCTTACTAAAGTGTAGTTAAACAACTTTTACCTATAATCTTTGTATTCCTTTAATTAGGCAACAGATGTACAGACTGGAAGACCTAGTAGAAAGGAGTTCATCTGATTTTGGTAAGTTTTACACATTTAATTTGACATTGGGATAGGTATCTGACTACTTCTTCATTACAGAAGGATATTCTCATAGATCACATTTGTGCTTTGAGTCTTGACCAAGGGTTTATGGAGTGTGTCACAGAACAGCACATAACCAGCATAAAACTGCAGTAAGGGTAGAAATATAGGCAACCAAGTGAGGTAAGGTAGTGTGAAAAGAGGTAGTGGAAATGTTGTGAGTCAGTTTGGGACCAGATCTGCCCTCAGGGTAGTCACACAGGGTAATTCTTATTGACCTTCCTGGGGAATTTTGTTTTAATTTGACTGAAGCTAAGGTGTTACCCCTAAGGAAGAATTTGACAAAACTCTTGTTTAATTAAAAATGAAAAGCTGCATCAAAATACCAGTAACTATTTTGGTTACAAAGGTAATGGGCTGAGGTTTTTTTTTAAATGTTCTCTTGGCTTAGGTTTAAACAAGTTAATTATATTTACTTAGTTGAGACTTATTTACAAACTTAATTTGTCTTTGCAGCAGGATCGATATAATGGGATCACTACAAAATGTTTTGTTACAATTAAATACTGAGGCAGGAGAAGCAGTATGTTTCTGAAGGATTATTGCAGCCTTGGGTTGTTTGCAAGTTTGAAGGCTGAATTACTTAGCAAGTTGAGGAGTTTAGTAATTACTTGGAAAGAAACTGTAGTATCTTCTCGTTACGGATAAAGTGCTAGTGTTGTATGAGTAGGAGTTAGTATTTTTCCACGTTTATTTTGTTTTGGTACTGTCATGTTCTGCAGTTTGATTTGTGATTTAGAGCAAGTCACTGGTACAGCTGTGATTCAGGTCCCCCTTTATACGAGTAGGTGAGTAGTAGAAGTGTATCCTGAGGACTGAAATATTTAAAATAATCAGGCAGGGTGATATTACTGATGACTTTTATAAATGTGCTATTGCCATTGTTTAAACCCCCAGTTTAGAGTTTTGCCTCAGTAAATCTTTGTTGTGCTTTGTTTTTATATAGATATCAATATTGTACATTTAATTTAGTTTCCTGTCAGTCTTAATGAGCTTTGGAGACTTTGTACTGAGAGCTGTGTAATGTGGAAGCCATGTAAAAGCTTTTCTTGTGTTCTCTCTTGTATTGCCTTTTTTTTTTTTTCCTGAAAATGCTTGCTCAGTTCTTAACACTCGACTGCTCCTGTTTTGTTCCACTTATTTCACTGCTCAATGATTTATGACAGTGTGCAGAAGATTTTATAGTGAAATACTATAGTTTAAAATTTTGCCTAAGCAGAACTTCTGAGAACTTGGGATACAGTATTGGTTATTGCTGCTAGTTTAAAATTTTGCCTAAGCAGAACTCCTGAGAACTTGGGATACAGTATTTGTTATTGCTGGAAAGCAGCAGTAATATCTATAAATAATTCTTTTAGAACTGAGTGAATTGAGCCTCTTAAACCATGCCATTCATTACCATGGCAGATGCTATGACTTTGTGTGTGGTGTGGGTGGGCTAAACACTGGAATATTATGGCATTTTTACCAGTTGATTTGCTTCACCCACTGAGTGTTGTTGCTCAGAAGATGTTGAGATAGGCTTATATGCACAAAGCTTTATCTCTGGGGTCCATAACAAGTGGCATATGTGAAATTTCAGGTTATCTATAGGGTGTGGGGAGAAGCAAAAGGGAGAGCAAGAGCAAGATAAAGAAAGAAGAGTCCCCAGTGGTCAGGTGGGAGGAGGAGCAAAGACAACTTGTCTTTCTGTGGATGTACAATCCGGTGTAGTGGGTGACCATGAGTTTCTGCCATGCATCTCCTGTAGTGAGTTGCACTTTGACTTGGGCCTGCTCAAACTCCTCATTTGCTGCTCACATTTGAGATGCTTTTGATAATTGGCACACACATAATCAGGTACACATGTTGCAGGGTAACTGGCTGCTGAGCTTTTGGGTGACTATATTACTGGGCAGTAGTAACTGGTATTTGAATTAAATGACTATATTGGCTTTGTTGCTCATTCAGTTTCATCTTTTCCTAGTATAACTTGACAGCTACAAGGCAAAGTTGTAGAAATAAATAAGGAGCAATTCTCACATCAGTGGCAATAGCTCCCAGTGAGTCTCTGCTGTAGTGGTGGTGTTTGAGCTTGCAGGTGCAAGGTAAGGAGGTTATCACCATAAGTGCAACAGCTTCAGAGAGCAAAGGAAACCTTAGAATGTTGGAGGAGACCTCTAAGGTCATTGAGTCCAACCATTAACCTGCCAGTCTGCTGGAACCTGTAAACCCTAAACCAGATCCTCCAGCATCAGATCCAGATGCCTCTTAAACACTTCCAGGGATGGTGACTCCACCACCTCCCTGGGCAATCTATTCCAGTGTCTGAACACCCTAACAGGGAAAAAATATTACCTAATGTCTAATCTAACTCTCCCCTTGTCCCATCTTATGACCATTCCCTCTAGTCCTCAATAACATGAGACACATAGCTGCAATAACTGCTTGGAAGGATACGAAGCTGTCAGTGAAAGGTAAAGCTACAGGATTGAGAATGGACAGCTCTTAGCATGGCACATCAGAAGGCACTGTGCAACAATGTGCTGCTTCCTAGGAAGAGAAGTTACAAAGCATGTCTGCAAATAAGTCCACCTACTTGAGTCCCCCTGAGGGTGCTGATGAATTGTTTTACATGTCTTTACTGTCTTGGAAGCAGTCAGGGCGCAGGGCAGCAGAGCTGAATGATTTGTTTTACCACTGAGTGCTTGGCTCTGTCACCTTTCCAGAGGGACTGGGTCTTTACTGTCTTGGAAGCAGTCAGGGAGCAGGGCAGCAGAGCTGAATTTCTTTTACCACTGAGTGCTTGCCTCTGTCACCTTTCCAGAGGGACCTAGTGCCTTCTTTTCCCTCTGTATCTGGATATGTGATGCTAAGATAAAGAATGGATCCCTCTAGCAAGATGACATTTAAAAGTGGGTGTTTGCCACCAGCCTAAGTTGACCTCAGAGATGAGTGTGACTTTCCAAGGGTCTGGTTTAATTGCTATGGAGAATGCAAATGTTAAATGAGTCATGGTGTGGTCACATCTGCTTTAAGCTATTGATCTCTTTTCCTTCAGGTCATGCTGCAAGCTTGCACTCTGAAGCAGAGAGCATCAGGCATCAATGTGTTGAGTTTTTGCGTTATGTGAAAGTTTTCATCTTCAGGTGAGATTTGCACACAAGTCGCTAACTTTACGTGCCGAGCTTTGTGTAGCTGCTTCTTACCCATTTTCTCATTGTGTGAATTTTATTATCTGTTCAGGTATCTGGAACCCCCAAAAGAGGAAAATGATGGAACACTACAGCCATATGAAGAACTAGAAGCACAGTTACCATCAGCGTTGGTGGAAGAGCTTCATGCTTTGACCATGCTCATTGGTCGCCTTTGTCAGCTTCCTAGTAATGTCCTGGCAGCATTTACTATTCAACATCAGGCAAAGGTTGCTATCTTTCATAATTCTATATTTTTTAATGTGACATCATGTATTCAACTAGATAAATTTTGGCTGAATAAGAGTTAATCTTTGTTTTTTGATTGTTCTCTTCACTTTATTAACTGAGTGCCATCCTGTGCTTGGCATACACAACTGACGAGATCTGAATGTTGGGTTTATTTCTCTCTTTTTATGTTCTGTAGCTTTAGAATTCTTCCTGCACTATACCAATGATAAGACCAATTACAGGTAGATAAATAGGCTTGAATTAGCATGTTTAAAAAGTTCCTTGGTGTTTCTTACTACTAATGTTTAGCATCTCTGAGCTTCCCAGTAGGAGGGGCATTTCTTTAAAAATGCATTCTGAAATCTGACTCAGAGTAGGAAAATGTCTTTCAGATAAAGAAGAAAAGTGCAGATGTGGAAGGAGGCACTGCAGCATTGGACACTAGTGAAGTGTGCACCATTAAGATTTGTGCATACATGTGATCGCTAATGCTTTCAAATCTTTCAGAAAGAAAAAAGGGAATATCAGTCTTAGGCTGTGTGAACTAGTATCTGGAGAGGAATGATCCACTGAGAAGCAACATTTTGAATATTTCTGTTTGTTTAGCTTGTCAGCAGGGCCACTGTCGAGTTGATGAAAGAAACAGTAATTTCAAGTAAACTTTAAGGAAGAGAATATTGAACCTTTGCAATGGTTTTAAGACCTTCCTTTAGCAGTTTTTGTGCTACCTAATACTTTTCTGTAAAGAAAAGGTTAGGTAAGGGTCTTGTAATTTGTCAAGCTTGAATCAAGACTTCATAAGCATCCTCTACAGGCAGAATTAATTATCATGAGAGCTTTTTGTTTGTTAGTTTCTGGTTAACTGAATAGCATCTTTGTATGTTACATTACATTTGATCCTAGATATCCATAATGTTCACTGCAGGCCATCATTAAAAATCATAGTATTGTTAAGGTTAGAAAAGTCAAGTCCAACTGTTATTCTAGCATCTCCCTGTTCTCCACTAAACCATATCCCCAGATGTCACATCCACATGTTTTGAACACTTCAGGGATGGTGATTCCACCACTTCTCTGGGCTTGTTCCAAAGCCTGACCACCCTGTCTTAGTACAATATGCAGAATTTGCTAAAGAAATGTTCAATATAAGTCAATGTCTGTGTTTCTAATTGTAGATCTTTCCCCCATCATGGCATTTACTACACCTCTACTTGGATATCAGTTGGCTAATAATGGAAATTCTTCACCTACTAGGTGAAAAAATGATGAGTAAGTATGCAGGTCTTTTTCTTGAACTTAGCCTTTACATATGACTTACCTAGTTTTCTTACCTTGATTTGTCCAGAATCACATAATGCTTTTGGTAGTTTTTAAGGGTTTAATGGGGTAAGCTCCAATATGGTAAAGGCAGGTTCTTTGTAAATCTTCATGGAGTTCAAATTAAATGCAATTGTATTAGGAATTTGTTCTGTCAAAACTTGACCAAGATCACAAAGTTTATGCTCAACTGATGTAACATACTAAACATTTAATTACACTACACTTCTTGACATCACAAATAAAAGTGTATTATCAGATCTGCAGAGTGAATAACAGTGAACAGCAATTTGATGAAAACAATGTAGGAAAAGTATCCAGGGATGAACCAGAATGAGGATTCTCAGAGCAGAGAATTTGTATTGTTAACCATATGCAACACTAAGAAAATATTGGGCGAAAGAAGAAGCCTCGAGCGGAGGAGCTTGTAAAAGTGCTGCAAGAAAAGGGCAAGGCAATATATTTTTTAAAATTTTTTAAGGCTTTGAAAGGGCAAAAAGTATATTGATAAGAGTAAGCTGTTCATAGGAGCTAGATAAAAAAGGTCAGAGAATGCAATTGAAAAACCCAATTCAAAGTAGTTCAGTTTGCTGAGGAATTGGGAAAATACAGAAGAGAACTTTATTTTCTTTGTGAGTATTAGATCTATTTTCCTTGTCTGTGCTACCAAAATAAGCCACAAAAATGTATTTTCTTATATAATCACTGTGTCCAACCTTCCCCGCCCTTATTTATAATTGATTATCAAAATTAATTTATAATTAATATTTATAATTGATTTTACAATTTAGAATTGATTATCACTATGAATTCCATATGGGAATGGCAACAATTGAAGTCATGTTGAGGGCTAAAAAGAATGCACTGTATGTTCAGCCCAGGTAACTGGTACTGAATGTGAAGTCTGGTATTCGCTTTAGGTGCTCTGTGTGTTGTCACAACACAACCTTAGAATCATAAAACCATCAAGGTTGGAGGAGACCTCTAAGATCATTGAGTCCAACCATTAACCTGCCACTGCTGGAACCCCTAAACCCTAAACCAGATCCTCCAGTGTCAGATCCAGATGCCTCTGAAACACTTCCAGGGATGGTGACTCTACCACCTCCCTGGGCAATATTCCAGTGTCTGATCATCCTAACAGGGAAAACATTTATCCTAGCATCTAATCTGACTCTCCCCTGTCTCAGCTTATGACTATTCCCTCTAGTCCTCTCCCTGCAGCCCTGGCAGGACACACATCCCCCACCTCTCTCCATCCCCTGTCAGATAGTTGCAGAGACCCATGAGGTCACCCTGAGCCTCCTCTCAAGGCTAAACTAACCCAATTCCCTCAGCCCTTCCTCACAGGACATGTTTTCTAGACCTTTTTTGAGCCTCATTGCCCTTTGCCTTGGTTGTATTTACACATTTTCTCTGTTTCTGCATGTCTGTGCTCCTGGATAGTATGTGGGCTGGCTGTTTGTTCTATAATTCTAAGTTTCCTTCATGATCTGTTGTGGGATAACCTTTTTTCCTTTTCTAGGACATTTTAGAGAAAGGCTAGTGAAACTGTTGGAGGCAATTTCTTGTCCAGAATTCAGTATTTATTTCTAGGATTGTGTTCTGTGTAGTAATTCAGTCATCTAGCTCTGTAAGAGAAAGCATGTGCTTTTTAGCAGCAAAATTTCCTACTCAAGGCAGTAGTAGCTCTGCATATATTATCTTCTCTTGTATTCTTATGTGCCTTTTAGAATTTCTTAGGTTCTCATCCCATTCTGTAAAGTAAGCTGAGTAGAATCTTCTCACTGCTGTGACCAGTGGCAGGATAGTGGGTTCAGGGCTTCACCTTGCATTTCCAAGATTAAAATACAGCCTTGTTCTACACATCCTCTGCTCCACTGATGTCAAAGGAGTTGTACTGCTGAAAAGCTTGTGGGATAAGATCTTACAGCCTCTTAACTTTACCATTTTATCTGTGTTAATGTCTACAAATGCTCAAGTTGGAATGTGATCGTGCCAGCTTTTTACATCAACACATCCAAAGGAAAGTGTTAGACCTCTCCAGAATTGTTTGTCATCAACTTGCATATCTGCAAAACATGTCACGATTCCAGAACATGCGCACTGGCATGTGACAAAGAGGAACTTGCAGATAAATAAATCTTTATTCCACTGCAAAAACTGTGCCAGTAGAAGGCTGTAAAGTGCCAAACTGTTTGACTGTCAACCTGAATAATACCAGATTTCAGTGCAGTAATGAAGGGATTACCTTGAATTTAGAAAGGCTGAACTTTCCCACATGAATTTGTAAGGCAAAATTACATATAGGTCAACAAGCCAATTCAAACAGATAATCTATGTATGTATGTATAAAATAAAAAAAAAAAATCTTATCTGTCTTGTATTCCTACAGCCAAACCCAGAACTAAATAGATCTGATTTTCTTTTGTGTTTCAGGACAAGTTGTTTACGCTCACCATTTCATAAATCTAACTGGAGAAAATTTAACCAGTATCAGTTTATTTGAAAAACACTGTGGAAATCTCATATCTGACTTAATAAGATTGTCTGTCAACAAGTATACAAAGGTAACTCTCTTTCTTTACCTAGGACATGGGGAGTTAGTTAGGTGCTTGTGCTGGGAACCATAGGAATTAGATATTGCACTAATGCATAGATGACTTCTTACTGCTAAGTTTTAAATGTTACTTATGGCTTTGTATCTCCATGTTTTAAAGAGTGTTATTTGTTAGGAGCTCAAATTGTGTTATATTTATTCATGACCATCTGGCAGTTGAATGAGAGAGTAATATTGAAATGCACTGTGTACAGAGCAGAAGTGAGTGCCACATTTCCTAAGTTCAGTGTTCCAGGTTTAATGCCAAACATGGCACAGCCTAAAAGGTTTAGATAGATGCAAAAAAAAAAAAAGCCCAATCTTTTCAAACTCTCTCAACAGGAACAAAAAGAGAATAACTGTAATCCTGGCAGTAAAGCTAACTGGACACTTAGAGAATGTCATATTACAGTTTATTGTTGCTCTGTGCCTATTTCCACAACCTCATCTTTCTTTTACAGAGCTTTTACATTTGTCAAGGGAAAACTCGTCCTTCTCTTCTTTTCTTTTCTTTTTCTTTCCTTCTGTAGCTGCAGTATTTTTCTCACTTGTTTTTAGCACTCTAAAGCTAGAAAGTCATAATAGCTCCAAGTAGCAACCAGTAAAAGAGCTGTGTAATCTTTGTGAAGCCTGCTTAGACAGGCTTGTGTGATCTGGGAATGCAGGACTGAGCTCTTAGAATAAGCAGCAGTGACCACTGTATAATTTATGCCTTCCTAGTAAAAAAACCATGGCAAATGGAGTCTCCCTTCTTTCATGTCACTGTTGAGGGTGGTGGGGGAATGGCTGTACTAGTACTTGATAATTGCTCTTATAAATGACTTTCCTGTACAGAACTGTTACCTTTTAAAATCAGTTTTGATCTAATAATTTGTCAGATAGTATTGCAGCCTCCTCCCCTGTCTACAGGCAAATAGATGAGAGTAATTTTTCTAGAAGATTCAAATAGTTTCTGTTGAGCATTGTGCTTGATGGTAGGCTTTGAAATGGCAGATTTGATGGTCTTCCACAGAGCCACATTACAAAGAGAGAAGATTGTTTTGCCACTGCTTTTTCTTCAGTTTTCCTTAGGCTTGGGCCACACAACTTGAACTAGTTCGATTTTGAGATTCATTTCTGAGTGAAATTTGCACTTGAACTGGATAACATCTCTTCAGCTAGTGACTCCTGTAGGATGCAGTCACTGCTATAATCCAGTAATGGAAATAACATCCCTCAAAATTGTTGAAAATGCAACTGATTCCCATAGTAGATGACACCATCGGCTCATCATTAAAACATGTCATTAGGCTTTTGGCTGAGAACATTGAGGAGTGCAGCTCTTAACATTTGTGGGTATGCTTGGAAGGAGGGACATAAACTCTAATCCTCTAGACTCCTATTTTCAGATCTGTTTCTTGGGCAGCTCTGATATCAAGATGCTTAACTTGGATCATGTACTGAGCCCAGTGTGCTCTGAGACACATTTGGCAGAGAAATACATATCCTTTGGATACCTTCCTTCTGTTTTCAGCAGCCACATCTCTGGCACTGGAGCTCTATTGTCCCAAACAGCAGCACAATTTGAGGTTATAAATATTCTTACCAAGATACTGAACTCAGGATGTTGCAAGAGGAAATTCAGACTATCTATGAAGAAAACCATGTCTTGGTTATCCTTAGCCTAACCAGTATCTATATGGTGTCTTGCTTTGATACTACTAGCCAAACTCTACCCTGAATGGATTGATAATGCTTCCATAAAAACCTCCAGTGCAGCTGTACTAAGTAGTCTGCTCATTTCTGATGGATCTGTTTTGCCCTTTGGTGGTGAGTCATAAGTAGAGCTATTTTTGAGGCACTTCAGTTTTGGGAAGTTAGTAGTTAAATAATGAGTTTTACAACACACTTCAGTTGTCACACTGATTTTTATTCTCAAGATAACCTGAATTAATGTTATGTAAATATTGTTGAAAGATTCCCCTAACAGATCTTGAAGAAAATGCATGAGGAGACAGAGACCAGAAAAACTCTAAACAGTAGATGCAGAATGTGAATAAAGAATTATTTTAAATATTTCTGTCTTGACCTCATGATGCTCTAAATGGATTGTCAGGGTCTACCCTGGCAGTTTTGTAGGATAAACAGAATTCTTAGGAGAGAGAGAACAACAAATTCTGTGTCACATTGGTAAATACATATAAATTAATATTTACAATTAAATGTTCAGTATTTAAATCTGATTTGAATAATAGAATTTAGGGGTTGGAATGGACCTTACAGGTCATCTAGTCCCAACCCCTGCCCTGGGCAGGGACACCTCCTCACTAGATCAGGTTGCTCAAGGCTCATCCAACCTGGCCTTGAACACTGCCAGGGTTGGGGCAGCCACAGCCTCCCTGGGCAACCTGGGACAGTGTCTCACCAACCTTGGAGTAAAAACCATTTTTTCTCACATTCAACCTAGACTTCCCCTCCTTCAGTTTGAACCCATTACCCCTTGTCCTGTCACTGCAGTTCCTAACACAGAGTCCCTCTCTGGCTCCTTGTAGGCCCTTCAGATATTGAAAAGTTGCTCTGAGGTCTCCACACAACCTTCTCTTCTCCAGGCTGAACAGCCCCAACTCCCTCAGCCTGTCCTCATAGGGGAGAT